AACTTGGTAGTCTGATGATACTTGGAGCTTTTTTCAGGGTCTGGTGTGGCACTTTTGAGCTGATTTTTTAAACGAGGCCGATAAAAGCAGTCGAAAGTACGGTAGAATTCGTTTTATCGTCCATAAGCGCTCGACTGTGTTCAGTGCGATCTGGGGGGATTTTGTCACTCGACATGTGGTGATCTGAATGATTCGGTGTCGGTTCCTCTATAAAGAGGGACTCTTTTACTGCAGGGGATCGGCTGAACCGAAAGACACCGTACTACTTATGATTCTGTAAAGGCGAACAGCTGCCTGGTCCTACAAAAGTGCCCATACCATAACTCAAAAAATCCCGAGACATTTGATGAGATTGATAGGTTATCATTGTTTTGAGCGAGGTCTATATAAGCAGTTGAAAGTAAAAGCTTAGTGATAGTGTTAGCATGGCTTGCTAGGTGCTTGCAAACTGAGAAGTAAATTGCACATACTTACTGATTTCGCTGGCAATTACGCAGGAAACAATAAATTCATCCCTTTTTTCCGTTGTCCTCGATAAGAATAACAAGTGATTTCAGGTCCGATCTCTTGGGGCAGCATTAGTGCTCACTTCTCATAGTATGGACGAATGTGAAGCCTTATGCACCGAATTAGCCATTATGGTAGACGGTCAGTGTCAAGGTTTCCGCAGTACAACAACTTCATAGTGTTAACTTGAGTAGAGTACTTCGAACAATACGAACCTTAGCATATTTTCCATTCCAGTAGTAATTTCCTGGCAGGATTAGGCTTTCTTCCTGGAAAGTCGATATTGCTCCTGACTAGGGAATTTGTCAAGTCGTTACTGCTACAATTCATCGTTACTACATTTAGATCACAGATGAGATTTCATTTACCAGTCTTCCTTTCGAAATTGTACAACTCCTTATCAGCTTACAAGACATTTACAAAATCAGCACTCGCTATATATTGCGGCTTTATACCCAGAGATACTCCGGCCACCACGAACTGGCATAATTCTGGAGCGGCTTACTTCTTTTCTTTCAAATGTTTCTTTGACCTAAAAAATTAAGGGTTTGGGTCATGGAAAGTTTTAGTGCAATTATAAGCAAATCGAATTGGGTTGTCTTGATTATAAGGACCCCTTCTGTTTGTAGGTAAAGCTTAGGCTTGAACATGTAAAACAAAACGAAAAAGGAATACTACAGAAAAAGGTGAGTTGCGTTGCATTCAGATCTTCCACCAAAAGTAACCACTTAATGAGGCTGAAACTCCGCTCACACCTCTTCGTTTTGAGTGGTTTTTATGAGGCTGTGTCTTACAGCACAGACTGCGGAGGGTGCAGTGACGATGGTATATAGATCGTGAATGTGTCATGTGTAAAACACATGTGGAAAAAATTGAAGTATTGTATCTTAGCAGTTTATTAGACTTTATGAGGCTTGGCCAAAGTTACAGTTATTAGGAAACATTCAATCGACAACGATTTCATGTCTTCGGCTTCACCTCAATCAACTTTTCCAGTGCCTCTCATAGTTTCACTTTCTCTTTTTTGCTGTTGCCTATCTTTCTAGCTTCTAGACAACCTCTTACCAAATCATCTCCTATCTCTAAATGACGCTCTACAATGCAACGTTTAAAGGGTGTTCTACGATAAGTATACAGCAATTATGCCACGCCCGGATTACCTAAAGTCTATAACCTTTTGAGGCTCACGGTTTGATACCAGATTTGCCTGGACATGAAAACTTTTGACTCAATACTTTGTTGGATTCCTGAGAGTCTTCGTACAAGCTAAAAATATGCATAGGCTTGACGAAGCCAATGGGTCGTGATGCATTCTCATAGGGGCCGTCGACAGCGATTGATCTATTTTTTCCTTTCCCTATGTCGCTTTATTATCACTTGAGAACCAACGGAATCTATTTCCGCTCACACGGCGCAAAAATAACTGATGCCTTTACCTGTAAGCCAACATATAGCACTTCCAGCGAATTTTATCATCTGCGGTAAGAATGTTAAAGACAACTCGCTCTCTGAAGGATAGAGGAAAAACTCTTTGTTCATCAAAATGAAATTCAGATCCGTAGAACCCCCCACCCCTGAGCGTATTTTGTGCGCCATTTCTTGTTGAAGCTCGTATTTCGAAAATGATCGTCTTAACGAGCGGTATTACTGCAGTCAAAAGCAATGAATGATTCTTCACATGCGCTGTCGATATTGAGAAAAGTGGGGATTTCATTTGGAATTCTAATATTTCAAACTCCGTTACCATTCCCTCAAAACCTTAATTTGTAGTTTGTGGCAGAGTCATATATTAATTAATAGGTCACAAGAACCAGAACAACAAACTCTACACTGTAAATATTACGTAGGCAACTCTACAAGTATTCCAGTTACTGAAAAATCATCAGCAGATTACGAAAATCTAGTTACGGTCTCCTAAGAATTGATGAAGCTTTACATGAGAATGATTTTACACTAAAAGTTCCTTGATGCATTTTTCAGGAAAATTCAAGTGTTACGGCAGCTGTCAACATATCAAGAGCCGATTCGGAGCTGGATTCACGTTGTTAATACGCTTGAGGCATTATAGAGATGTTGACAATATAAATAATGAAATTCTAGAAAAATTTCCCGGCGCAGTATTAAAGTAAGTCGTATGGTGGTTAGAAGTTGACTTGAAGCATTGAACGAGAAGATGAGAAGAATATCATGAATTTTCAACATCCTCTTAAATTTATTTGTGAGGGTATAAGAAGTTCTCTAATCTCATTTTTGTTACGTTCAGTAATCCAATTATAGTTTTTTTTAGCGTATTCTTCTATCATATTTTCACTTTGTTGTAAAAGTTTTTAAATTTTATTTCTCAAAGCTTATATGACGCTTTACTACACAGAACTGCACTCACCATCATTCCTATTCTAGTGGAATTTCTCTATCTGAAAGAACTTCGTTTTCGAAATGTTATCACGTGTTGATCCTCACCTCTATGAATTAGAGAACGAGTGAGGGAGATTTATCTCCTTTTGATGAAATTCTTCACGAACAGCAGCTTTTCCTGTCCAGGTTTACTCTTAGTAAAGCCTCTTAGTGAACATACCTAGTAAATTTTAACTTAGGCTGTCCAATTAGGGCTGTGAACCTTGCTGTTTGTTGTTCTATCAACATTTGCAAACAACGTGTTCTTTACCATAATTCAGCAAAACATTTTAAGAAATTTTGGGAATTTTGAGAAAATCAATTCTGATTCTAAATTTTTACCCGTATAGCTTCTAAGGGCGGAAAAATAAGTTCTGAATTCTAGGCCTCTTATAGCTTGAATCAACTTCGACTTTCCAGCGCAATGAATACTGGGCTTCATAGTTCAAGTATGACGAATTACAGGAACATCATCTACTGCAACTGTCCTACGAATTACCAAAGCAAAGAGGAACGACATGGTCTGGTTTATTCGACAAACTCGAAGAACTCATCAAAGAGTTTGACTTTGAAGACTATTCGCTCAGTCAAACAACGCTCGAACAGGTTGTAAAAAAGATCACATAGAGTTCAATCCCAATTTTTCCAACGCTTGTTCTCGATATTTGTGCTCTGAAATCGGGTCTTTAAGCGAAGGTACTACGTTGCTTACGATAAGCACAACTGACTTGTCAAAAGAAACTCGATATTTCTATCATATAAGGTCATCTATGTGGCTTTTATTGCTTTTTTGTAAACTGAATCTGTTTATTCACTTACTGAATTCTGCTGATTGAAATGACTCAGTCATTTAGGTGTTTCTTGCATTTTCTCGAAATGTAATGCAAACGCGACGGAACACCGACAATGGGCTGGCTAATGGAGTCGACGGAAAACTCGTCGACGTAAACAACCACACTAATTGCGATTACAACTCGGATTTGAGGCTTTAACGAAAGCTTTGACGATAGTCGTGCTGTATTACTTTTATCAGTGATACTGGATTATTTTTAAATTCGAGCAATCACAGAAATGTTGAGAACTCATTGAAGCTCAGAATTTTTCTGACTTTATGTGAATATTCAATGTCCACGGTGAATTCTTCCGATTTATAGGAAGAAATATGTCCCAGTGCTTTAAAACTTCCAATAACCAGGCATCAAATTTTTACCCATATGTGTTGTTTACGATATATTTCTAGTAAGATTCGGGTCAACATAGCATGTTCTAAGTTAAATTTAACTATGTAATTTTTCTGAGATAAATGTGTCAATGCGTCATACTCACACGGGGTTATCGTAATTCAACTGCATTGTTTTGAATAATTGAAAAACACTGTTAAGAACCAATGTTTCGCCAAACAATTTTCTAAGCAGTGCGAGGCCATAATCCGCTTTTGGATTCGTTTGAGCGTCATTGAGACCTACATATGTGCACCAGCCACTATTACCACAGATTTCACTCATCCGAGGAGTGAGAAAACACCATCTTGTCTTTGTAAAAAATTCTAATTGAAATGTTTTGAAGGTAGAGTCCCGACCACCAATGACTTTTTGATCTCTATCGTATTCCTACGCATACGGCTAAATTGCTAGAGAGGTTGGAAAAAACTTAGGGTCTAGTGATCGAAGGTGACCTTCACCACATACTGGAAATCATCTCATTGTTAGAAACGATCGCTCCGTGGTTCATAGGGCGCTCAAAAGTGACCCCATTAGAACACATTTAGTTGGCGGAGTGTTGGAGGTGATCTTTCCTATGTATTTTCTAATTGCTCGATTGTTGGAATACAAGTAACCTTAATTAACTCGTGTTTAGCTATTATATTCACCTAAGCATTGTTATGTGAGGGTGTGAACAGGAGTTCACAAAAGCTACAGGCATAACCGGAACGTCGAATACAGAGTGTAAGAAAAGTTCTAACAGTTTTGTCTTTTGCTGATTTGGGCATATAATGTACTTTTTATCAAGTTTGATAACATCATTGAATTTTCTGCTAAATTTTGGTCCAAAATTTGTCTCATATACACCTACGAGAATTGAATGGTGAGCAAAGACACGGCCTCAGACGGGAATCGAACCCGCGTTTCACCCATACCGGGGTGGGGTCGCGTGCAACCACTACACCACCGAGGCACTTGCGCCACCACTCATTCTTCAACATCTCTATGCTAGCTATCAGCCACCAACCTTTAACAGGTTTGCCGGGCATGAGCTTTGGCTTTATAAACCAGTTGAGCTGACAGCCATTGTAATAACTAATGCTCGAAATTTCTAATATTTTTACTGCTTTTTGGCAGTATTACTATGTTTCACATATACCTAAGAAAATTGAGTGGTGAGTAAAGACACGGCCTCAAGCGATAATTCAGCGAAATCACGAGCATTCGATACGGAAAATGGTGAGGAAGCCCTGGATTAGCTAGTGGAGCATCCCAAAAATTGTCAAAAAATAAACTGAAGCTGCGCAGCTACAAGATGTTCTTGTGTTCATCTCGTTCTCGTGTTCATTCTCTGAACAAAAAGATGAAGTAAGAACGGCTTGCAAAGAATAATGTGATCTGACAATGTATTTTTAACCTTTTATGAGGTCTGATATGAACTCGCCGAATGATCCGCTTGATAAGTGGCGCTCGTTTATCAAAGTTGCTCTCTACGAATAATAATATATTCACAGCTAAAACGGCTCTGGCACGCGCTGCCTGATCAACTTGCGGGAAGTACATTAGGCCCATGTGATTTCTGCCCGGTGGTATCTACTTGAATAATTCAGTCGGAAACTTGTGAAAGCAGTGAGTATGTTGAAAGTTGATTTTGTGCCTTATGCCACTAAAATCTGGTTTGCTGATATTTCTAAACGAGTTTTGGAGGCATCTAGCTGAATGGGTTGTGGCGAACCTGATCCTTTCAGGTTCTAAGAATGGCGAAACTGTGAAACGTTAGCTGTTTGAATAACTAGTGCATTTGCAACTGACGAGGCTGTCAAGGTCAAAAAGCGTGTTTTGCACTGTATAAGTGTCCATAAAAGCCTTCGTGAAAGGCTTAAAATATGACGTCAGAATGTATTAATTTTGAGCGGGGTCTTGAAAAGCACTCGAATATGAAATTATTACTTGTTAAATATACGAGCTTTGAGGAATCGGCTGCTAATTACTGCAATGTCCGGTAACCATGTTACTATATATGCAGAGATGTGTTATCGGTGGGTGAGTAAAATTTCACTTCACACACGATGTGACGTGTGCGTCGACGATTCCTCTATGTAAAGGGTTGGATTCCCTCAAGAGGGCTGGCTAAGTCGATAAGCACTGTGCAACTTACGAAGCTCTCAAGGCCGATCCGCGTGTATTGCCACGGTATAAGTGTTCATACAAAACCTTATGAAAGGCTTAAATTATGCTGTCAGGATGAATGAAAAGTGCTATTGAACCTCGTGCTTGGTTGAAGAAAAAATCAAGAATTTACTTAGCGAGCTTGCTGAATAATCGATCTTGGGAAAATCGAATAGTTATGATACATAAATGAAAGGACATTTTGATATGAAACAGATCTTGATAAATCAGCAATCTACCAAATCTGTCAATTTTTTCTTATTCGGCGTCAATTCCTTAAGAGGATTATTTGACATTAACGGATTGGCTGAACCGAGGGAGGGTGGTACTGATAAGTCCCAATAGGACGAAGCAGGCACCTGTATAGCACTACACCTATCAGCTCAAAACATGTAATATCCTTATCAGATTATATCATTTTGAGCGGGTCTATAAAAAAGCGGCTCCAGAGAAGATGTTTGATTCATTATAACAGCTACGTACTCGACTACCGATCACACAATGTCACGTTAGTACATCACCTGACTTGGGGTAATTTTTCTTTACTCAGCGCCAATTCCTTCATAGGATTATTTGACCTCAAAGGATTGGCTGAACCGAGGGGTGGGGATGGTACTGATGAGTCTTCAAAAGGACGAAACATTCACCTGTATAACACTAGACTTATCAGCTCAAAACGTGTAATATCCTAATCACCGATAATCAAAAAAATGGAGTATTTGTTGATGGCATAAGGCCTACATAGTTTTCTTCACTATTTGCCCATCTACACATGCCTAAATAGTATAGTGCCAACTATCACACATATATGAGTATATTTTACACTAACGTTACATCGTTGCACCCACTTTATTTGGTGATCCCGTGTCACAATAATTGAAAGACCGTTTCCCTCTTAATGTCAATAATATTTCAGTTTACCAATAAACAAGAAGGGGTGTATTGAGTGAAAGAAGATCCTATTGTCGCTTCAGGAATGGACTAGAGTATTATAAGATTTCAACGTGTAATAAAGATCCCAATAAATGATTTATCCAGCAATGAATTCGAATAGGAACAATGTTACATGAACCGTGATGAAAAGAAAATGTGAAAAACGCATAACCTGAGATCCAAAGGCGACATGAAAAAAATTTTTGATACAGTTTTCGCACAGATTTACATAATAATCAGTTTGCTCAATAAGATCACATTTCTAAGTATAAACTGTAACACATAAAGCGATTATACTCGCACAGAGTAAAGAAATTGGTCTTCTAATTCATCAAAATGCTCTTACAAAAATTAATATAAATAAATATGGCTACTAATATTTCCAATTTGATTATTTCGTTTGAGCTTCAGGCTTAGCCTTTCATATCTCTTGCTCTTTTTGGAAATAATACAGCTCTTCCCACAATTCATGAGATTTTGGCTCTTCTGCTGGGCTATTTTTTTCGCCACGAAACGCTATCATGGCTCTTCTGTGCGCTCTTTGGGACTAAACGGAATACAGCGTTAGTCGTTAGACTTATTCAACGAAAGTAGGAGGCTCTTCACTAATTAAATTTACTAGAAAACCCAAATCTTACATCAAAATACGTACAATTAGTGGATGAGATACCCATGATCCCTCTGTTCTATGCCATTGATCTAAATAAGACCTCCCTCTAATGTCCGAAAAACATTTTCTCAGTTGCGGAACGAAAACTCGCAAAGTTTCAGTGAAGCTCAGAATATGTTGAAGGACACCAGAATTTCATGTTGTCACATTAATCTCTTCTTTCAGCCATGCTATATGTCAAAAAACTCGACTATGAATCAATTAAATAAAAGACAAGTGGGTCGAGGGCGGCTAGCAATAATTTAGCCGGTTGCTCAATGCTATGTCGAAATCTGATTTGAAAAGCAAGAGTACTGCTTTGGTCAGATTGTACTGATTTCACAGATCTCAAAACAATTGAAAACAACGGATCTTTCGACTTACATTCTCAGACGTTCCATGTTCCTCGGAGGCGATTGACGAGAGCTCCCTTTATAGTTGTTTGCCTTTGTTGTGGCCTTCGTTCTGATTCGAGTCCGATTTATTCGGAGGAGCACTGCTGAATGACAACCCTACCTGGCAGAAGCTTTTTATGCACAGATGATTGCTGATGATAGTGATTGTCCAGTGATAACAATTGTTTTTCATTGAAATGGTTATCCAATGACAACAGTTGTTTTCATTGGGCAACAATCCTGCAGAAGTCGGTTTGTTCACTGAGTGTTAAAAAGAGCAAGTGTTATAAACTTATCATAAAGCTCCATGGGAGGTCGATACTTGCATCAGATTTCTCCAGGCCTTATTGTCCACTGAAATAAGTATGATCATTCAACCATCATTGCTATCGACAACATTATGTACAGGAGCACTGCCGGATGAGGTTTTCACTGAAGCGGTGCGTTTTTGCAGAAGATCTGACTAGAACAATAATGAAGGCCTCGACTAGGATGAACGACTGTGAACCATCGGTTCGGATCGATCGGCTGTGAAGAAGACTTCTTCATGATGTCATCCGGGTAAATTCGTTTTCTGAACACTGTTTGAAACTGGCTTAATAGGCTAGAAGACGTAAATAATTGTGAATCAAAGTCCAAGATCATTTCTACCACACTCTAGTCATTGTACCCTGCGTAGGAAAGAATCTCAAAATAAAAGATTTGCTAGAAAAAGCCATTTGGCGAGGTTTGCGAGAAAATCTTTCAAGACAATCGCTCATTGATAGAAGAGAGCGCAGACCAAATAATGAGACGCATAATTAAAGACGATTCTCCGACGTCCAGCTAGTACTTCTATGTTCGTTGCAAAGGTTTGTTCATAATTTCAAAGTCAAACTTGCCGGTTTTTGAATCATTATGTATTAGAATTGGCCAAAAGTCCTCTTCTTCAGGGTCCAAACACACCGGAAGGTTGTGTGGCATGGAGGAGAATGAAATTGTGTGTGAAAGACGAACTCGATATCGTTTCTTTGTGACATAATGTCGATGTGGGAACAATGATAATGGTTAAAGCCGCTATTGAACCACATTGCTTCAAGAATAAGAGTTTGTTGAACTTTGTTCGCTGCTCAAATGTATCGGCCACGGATGAAATCTTGCGAAAAGAAAACGCTAACACCGTTGACCTCTATTATAGTTTGTTTTGAAGAACGTCTGCGGCGTTGTAAAGCTGAAAAGAATAAAGCTCTCGGTGTTGATCAATCTCTGAGTGATGCGCCATACATTCGTCTTCAGTTTTTAACTTCGTTTGAGGTGATTGAATGCATATCTGGCCTTTACAATAACTCGCGGTGGCCTCCCGCTGAACTGAGTCAGTGCTGCTTATGCTCCCAGACAAGTCTGAGACCAGTCTGGTACCAATTTACCGATCCCGGAGGGATGGATGGCTTGGTGAGCCATGAGCGGGGGATCGAACCACTGACCTCGTGTGCACCTCTAATCAGACGCAGAGCACCTCTAACCACTGCGCCGCATGCGGCGTCATAGAGGAGATTAATTATATATTGTCTTCTCGTCTAAGTTAAGCCGATGAAGCAATTGCTTACACTTCTTGCCTGAGTTTCTAGGCCCTCTATAGAGAAACTACATGCAGATGCACTTGCATTTAGATACAGATAGTTCCTGCGGTCTACTTCCTATTGTAGAAACCAAGAATAGCCCTGAAATGTTAGCAGCCACTCTCTTAGTGATCTTCCTTTACAGAAATGTTCTTATTTGGGTTTCCTATGGTAACAGTGTCCATCTTTTACTATTTGGTTTTGCATACTCAATGTACAGCCTATCAAG